GTTTCTACTGGTTCTTTTCTGTCAAGTCTTCTGGACTTTACCAACTGATTCCACCAGCTGATAGCATCACCACAAAACTCAGCAGTAGCAATTTGAACCTTCTTTCTTTCAGCATAGCTTTGACAACTGAAAATCAACTCCATTTTCTCCTCCCACTTCACATATGCAGCAGGATCAGCCTCACCATGAAAGGAAGGAATTTTAAGTTTCAAAACACCATGTTTCTGGTTCCTTTGCAGCTGATCATACTCTTTTGAATTGTACTCATCTCTGCATGATCTGCTTCTCCTTTGCTGGTGTATGTCTTGTCTGTGTTTTCCAAATTGATCTCCTGCCATGGTATCTGAAACAGAAAATAAAACACACCAGTAGCAAGTTCTGTAGAGAAAAACAAATAATCAACTTGCAGAACAGAAAACAGATCAATTACTATGAACCCTAAACAGTTTCAGTTTGCAGAAAACAAATCAGAATAAAGGTAATTTCGATTTCAAGCTTAGTTTCAGACTCAGATTCAATAATCAAAATAGAAAAAATCAGATTCAGGACAACAGAAACAAATTGATCTCTACAAACACCAAACAGATTCAGATCAAAGCAAAATAGATCAAAAACGGTCTCAGCAAGCAGATAAAGAGTTTAAACACAAAAACGAAATCAGAAAACCCTAATCTATCAGATTTCGACAGCCACAACACAGATCTATCAGTTCTTAGCATGAATATAAAGAGACAAATCGAAAATCAGAGAGAAAACAACAACTTCCCTTCCAGAGTTGCTCTGATACCACTTAATACACTTCTAGGATGCTCTCTGGAACAGATGGGATAATCCTTTGCAGAAACGAATCAAAAGACTCAAGTTTCTCAAAGGCAGTGGATTGAATGGTGACACAAGAGGCTGCGGAAGGCTTCCTGATACTCCTAGATGGCTAGATCAGATATGACACACTGAAATAGACACCCTTAGGCTCTGGATATTACACACCAGAAGTTGGATA